AGCAGGAATCCAAAATTATTATTACAACTTCTTGGTTTTCCTCAATATTTAACAGCTGCCAGAGAATTCATAAACTGAAATCTGCATCTTTTATATACTTAATACTCTGGATTTGAACCACATAGGAACTAACTCAGATTAAGTACCAAATTAAGTACCAACTTTTTGACAAAACCAGTACATCTCACATTTGAATTGCTGATATTGAAAGAGGGCTGCCAAGCTGATGAGTTGAAGGACCCTTTACATTTACCGGATAGATAGGATCAGCCTTTTAAAATTGGCTTGTTTTTATCTTAAAATTTAACAGCAGTTCTCTGGTGTTAATTTTCTCACTGTATTAAAAAAGTCTCAGGAACTCTTCATCTTGGTGCCATGTAAAAAGAAGACATTAGGGACAGGGACGTGATTTATGATGGTATTTAAATATGGTATGGAAAGCATGATGGCAATTTAAGCAAGGAAATTGAGAGCAATGGGAATAGCAGCCTAATTCGCCCTGTCCGTCCTGGAGTCAGACCCAGCATTCATCAAATCACTGGGAAAATGTCCCTGGCTTGTGACTGCCTGAGAAGACAAGTAAATCCCAGTGCCACTGAAGGCTAGTTATGGGACTTGAGTTTTGTTTCTGAAAAAAAGAGTGATTGGAACAATTCTGTGTGCCATATTTAATATGCCACATGTGGTGTAAAGTTACTACAATGAGAGAAGGTGCATTAATAAGGAAATATATCCAACCTGACATCCAGAGATTATTTAATGTCATACTTTTATTTCACAAGATTCAGTTCCATTTTGGTAAACCAGCTTTTTAAAAACCTGCCCACACGTCCACTGGGCCATCACACCACCTTCCCACGGCCGAGGGCCGATCCTGCAGCATCCACTGAATGGTCAGCGGCTCAGAAATGGGGTTTCTGAGTAGCCTAATGGGGTGGATTATGCATCTCTCCCAGTTACTTTTGAAAGTTTCAGATGTTTTTTTGCCTAAGGACAATAGTTAGGGTTTTTTTACACTGATCAAATAGTTTTAATACTCTTTCAGACAAACCTTTATATAATTCACGACCAAGTCTAAAGTACTAGATAACACTGATTCAATGATAAAATAACTTTAAATCTTTTCATGTGATTTCAAGAAACCTACTGTTCATGTTCACGTCTGATTAAGCTCTACAAATCAAACTCTGCAATCTTTACCAAAACCAATGGTTATCAGTACTGATTTCCAGAGTTGTGACCATGCAAGGATTGCAGGAGCTGGCCTGATTAAAATTGCAGACGGACAATGAGTTTCATTACATAATTTGAATAGGCTAATTACAAACCTGAAGTCTGTGATGTGAAATCCCCTCTCCGTGCCGGTCCTGCTGACGTTTGGACAATGGTTTTTCTTACCTATCACCCATCTGCGCAAAGGATGTGCTGCTTCTTGGGGCTGCTAGTTAAAACTAATCCATATTTTGCAAATATAAATATTTTTGTTAAAAGATCACGAAACCTAACAACTAAACCAATATGCTAAACTGATGCTCATCTCTCCTCTCGCAGGCAGAGGGAAAGGCATATTTCTCAGTAATGCCTTTGCCCTTTAAATCTATAGCAGGATCTCAAAAACATCTGGATACAGAAGAAACCCCGTAAAGACGCTGTCATCCTCAGCACTGACGTAGACCCCGTTCCAGTCCCGCGCAACCTCCAGCCACACCTGGTCACCCGCGCTCAGCTTCAGGATGGTCAGGAAGGATGCCTGGTCGATCTCCTGGCCGTAGAGCGTCTCGCGGGCTTTGGCCACCTTCCTGCTGCGGGCGACGAGGCTGACGCGGGCTGGACGCCCTCTCACCGTCAGGTGATAGGCGAAGACGTACGCCCCGGGCACGCTGCAGTTGAATTTCCCGGTGGAAGGGTTGTAATCTTCTTGGTCGTTGTACAAGATCTTGTCAAATCTAATGGGGACGTTGGGCGGAGGGAAGGGCTTGGACAAGCCGGCGCTGAACGCTGATCGCAAGAGCTTTGTGGTGTCCCCTCGGGCGCCCTTCGCCCCACGGGAGCCTTTCTTTCCCGGGGCCCCTCGGCCCCCCTTGCTGCCAGTGACCCCCTTGGGCCCAGAAGGTCCCATCATGCCAGCAGGTCCCAGGTCCCCTTTTTCACCCTTACTTCCTCGCTCGCCCTTTTCTCCCTGTTTTCCATCCACCCCCTGAATTCCCTCAACTCCCATCTCCCCTTTGCTCCCTTTTTCTCCCTTTGTCCCCCCTTCCCCTCTTTCTCCCTTCGCACCTCTCCCCCCTGGCTCCCCGCAATACCCCTTCTCCCCTGTGTCTCCCTTTTCCCCTTTGTCACCCTGTTCTCCATCCACTCCCGGCTCTCCAGCATCCCCCCTATCTCCCTTGTCTCCTTTGGTCCCGTTCTCACAAGTGTCCCCTTTGGACCCCTTTTGTCCCTTCAGTCCAGGGAAGCCGTAGTTGCCCTTATTGCCTTTTACTCCAGTTTCACCTAGGAAAAGGCAAAGTGGGGAGGAAAAAGAGATTTAAAGGATTGCTTTGGAGATGGAGGGGCATCACCAACAGCAAAGGGAAAGGTCAGTGCAATATTCCTGGCTTTCCCAGCTCGTGTAACATACCTTGCTGCCCAGGTTTGCCTGGATAACCGGGGTTTCCACTTACTCCTCGCTCACCTTGCTCCCCTTTGCCTCCTAGGACATTTCACCATTAATATACTGTTAGTGATGTTGTCTACAGCACAGCAATCATTACACAGAAGATGACTGGTACCATTTTGCATGTGTCTCTCACTTCATTGATAAAACAGAGATGAGCAATGTGTGTTTTCAAGAAATGCCTTCAGAAACCTCATCTGCATCTCACAGCACCGAGCACCATCACGCAGACAACTGCATCTCACCCGAATGTTGACTCTAATCAGTGCTTCCTTGGGAGGCGGTTGCTGCTGTTTAATGGCAAGATGGAGGAGATGACATCTCTGCATTTCTCACTCCAGGATTGCCAAAAGTCTTCTTCAAGTGAATCAAAGCCTAAGAGACCACACTGACTGAACTGCGCAGCACGCTGCTGCTGGTACTCCCGTTATCAGTTTTGCTGTGTGTTTCTCCACGACTGAAGGCAGCCGCAGGGTCCTGCTGGTGGTGTGTGGCAGCAGGACAGAGCAGCTCCGAGCCTGAAATGAAGGGCAGGGTTTCCTTTCGGTTGCTACTGATGGATAATAACTGCTTTCCATCTTAGCTGAAATCATTTTGCCTGAGATACTTAAATTGAAATGCAGCTTCTACACCTGTGCATAGCTTCCATGGTGGTTTTTTCCTACCTATGTCCCTAATCCAGAGCAAATTGAACTCAGTTTTTAAACTCACATTCAGAACAAGAAGTTTTGAGTGAGATCTTTATGAGCAGCTGTTCCTATACTGCCTGCGCGTACACTACCACCATCTGAGTTATTGTCCCTACACTAATGCCAGCTAAATCTCACAAGGTGTCAATCCATAGCAGCATACTCTGTTTCCTTTGAAAAATATTTTTTCCTATAATTTTGTGGTATTCAGTGAGGACAACAGCATCTGTTTTCGAAATGAGCAGTTAGTCTGCTTTACCTCTTTCTCCTTTAGAACCTTTTGGACCTTGAGGACCTGGAGTTCCTGGCAGACCTTGCAGACCAGCATCTCCCTTCTCCCCCTTGGGACCTGTAACGCAATCATATCAAGAAAATTATCTTAGTAACTCAAAGGTTTAAGTTTATAAAGACAATTCACAATCATAGCTAGGCAACATGGCATCAAGGGATGCATGTAAGGCAAACTCCGTTTCCATCACCCTGGGAAGAGCTGGCTATTTGGCATCATAAAACCAATGCAAAGAAGATGTGAGACAGAAGGTTTGGCCTGAGCCCTGCTCCCCTATGCAGACACTGCAGCTGAAACCCTACGGCTGGGCAAAAGGCGAGGGGTGGTAGGCGCAATGCCGCACTGCCTGTGCTGAGATTAGTGGGGTGCATGCTCACAGGACCCTGGTCAGGCACACAGCTCCCCAACCTTTGCCTTGCAGCTACTGCAATCCCCAAATCTTACAGCTTTGCATTTCACTCATGGCTGTAGTAACAGATATTTTAAAACCAACTTTCAGCTGCCCTTGAGCCACAGGAACTCAGACATCCATAAAACATCAGAAGTAATCTCTCTTTAATATTTGAGCGCATCTAAGGAGCTTCCATAGCCTCATAATTGCCCCTCTCCTTAAAAAGAATTAAGTCTGCAAATATAAAAGTGGAACCTGGCAGACAGCTCCATACTGCTAAAGGATGGGTTGAAAGGCAAGGAAGCTGGCTTCAATCTTTTTTTACTTTTTCATCCACTTGGGAATCTAGATACTCCCGGTGCACATCTGGGAGCAGACTATGGCAGCTTCAATCATCACAACACAACCCATTTGACACAAGGACTTTTCCGTCAACTCTCAAGAGATGTACAAGTGCAAATTCCCTCTGCAGCCACTATAATTTCCATTAGCCAATCCCTCCTGAGCTATGGGAAGTGAAAATCCCTCGAGTATATTGTATTAAAAGAAAATTATTTCATTATTTTACCACCTTTTCTCAGATGAATAGTTTCCATCTCCAATATTAGTGCTATTCAAGTGAACATTTGCAGACTAATGCACTATTCATTATAGTGGTATTAGAATTAGGCACTCTATAGATATGTATTTTAGCAGTAGAAAAAAGAGACAAAGTATGTCTTATAAAATATGTAGGTCTCTATACAGAGCTGCCTCTCATGAGAGCAAATAATTATTTTAAAATTTGAACCCAAAATTATTTTAATATTTAACTTCCTCTTTTCCAAGGGGAAAAAAAAATCCAAGAAAAAAGAGGCTTTTATCATAAACCTTCAGCAAAGATACAAAACTGCTTGCAGGTAGTTTTGAGGGTCATAAAACCATAGTTGGACTGAATGTGAAAGCAAATCTGTGACTCCCAGGGGATCAGACACGAGGACAGAGAATCGAAGAGTGCGGCCACGTGGGGCACCCGCCAGCAGCAACGCGGTATGGGGCCAGCTCCGCATGCGCTCCCACGCCAGTGCGGCCCTCAAAGTAGGTGCCATGGGGAGGAAGCTCCTTTTTGGGGCTTTCCCACTCATATTGGTGTTTTTTAACTTCCGGGATGTGGCTGGTGTGCACTTTTTTGCTCTGGCTTTACACGAGGTATAATCACATTCGGCATTTGCTGCACAAGTCCTGCCGACTCATTTCTTGAAGGAAAAGCAGGAGACTCCTTGATACGGTTTATGCGCTTTAGCTGAGAGCGACGAGACAGGCATCGCTGTACCTGGGGGTCCCTGCTCCCCCGGCTGCCCCCGGGGCCCCACGGCAGGCGGGCAGCAGTCACAGCAGTTGAAGAAGAAATCGGCTGTGTCGAGCGTGTAGTTCTCGAAGGGGAAGAGTGTGGTGGCCCCTCGGGCCGCGGGGCTCGGGGTGGGTGACTCGGCTCTGCCCGGTGCTGCCGGGAATGGGCTTTTCCCCACGAGGGGGGTGAGGGGGGTGCGAGAGGCACCGTCACCCGCCAGCTGTAGGGGCTTCATCTTCGTGTACTTCACAGCTGGGGTCACCTTCACTCCCGCGTGCACGGTGGCAACAACCAGCATCACAAATGCCGAGATGGGCCCCTGTGAGCTCCACATGTTGGCAGCTGTAGGAAAAGACGAACGCAATAATAAATTGCTGCACAACACCCTTTGCGTTCACATGTTCCCCACAAAGCCAGAAGACCTGCAGGAGTAGTGTCAGGCACGTGTGGGCATCTGCCTGGAGGACTATGTTACAAAGCCTCACTTTTTATGGGGAAAGTAAAGCAAAATTAGCAAAACCTCCTGCCTGCTCACCGCTATTGATCGTCGCCCTACAGAGCACTTATCATTTGGCTGCTCCTGTTCGCTGTGGTTGGAAGTGCTCCCACAGGTGTCAATAGAAGTTCAAGGCACTGAGTGAGAGTTATATGATCACTGGGACACATGATGTCTCTCTTCTGAGCGTGTGATTAGGAATAACTCAGTAATGATTTCAGAGTCCAACACAACTGCACATTATAAAAAGGTTTGCTCTAAAAGAATAAATGGAAACAAACTGAAACATCAAGTATTCCAAAATTTTTGTGTTGACTTTTTCTTTGTTACTGACTGATTTTCTGGACTTGCATATTCTTTTAGTGTAAACTTTCAGGTCCGTTCCTTTTATTTTTAAAGTGTTGATTTAGCTGAACCAGGAAAAAAGAACAAAGTAAGAAGCACACATTTTTTCCTATAAGACAGATGACGCCTCTCAGATGACTTGTCATATAAAGCATCTTTGTTTCTTTTTTTAACCAGTGTACCAACCTGTAAATACAAATGGAACAGACTCCCTTTCTTGCTGAACCTGTAATCTAACCTTCCTTAGCAGCTAAGGCACTTCATTATATAAAAAAGTCACCAGGAGAAACGCCGACTATCCTTGCCATCCAGAGGGCAAAAGGAGGTCCGACTCAAAGTCAGATATTTGGAGGCTGGATCATAATCTTTCGTTCTTTAAGAATTCAGTTTTAGAGGAAAAGGTCATGAGTTTTTCCATTTTCACACAAAAACAAATCATCTAATGGAAAATTGATTATCCACACAAAATCCCCAGTGATTACTGTTGCCCATTGCTGCCATTCAACCCATTCTTCACCCCATCAGCTCTAGTAAAGGATAAATTATCCCTTCTCCATGAATGTGTTGCATTAGGACAGGATACCAGGCACTGATTTTTGTCATAGGCCTGTATTTGCTCCCAGCCAGCCCCAGCCAACCTTACCATGAAGAGTTTAACTCTGGGATGATTGGCACGGGAGGGCAGCGCTCAGTGCAGGCAGGCAGAGAGGAGCCAGACCTTACAGCCAGCAGCAGGGAAGCAGCCGCAGTCGCAGAGAAGGAGGGTCATCTGCTGTCTAAGAAGAGAAAAAAAAGCACCAAATTCTCCTTTTGAAGAATATACTCATGCGGGAGTGTTTTGCCACTGCTGGAGATAACTAAATAAACCCATAAGTTCATGTTTGCATGTTTTATTGTCACAAACCACTTCTGCAACAAGCTCTAAAAGCAGGTACTTTCCAGTTACGTAGCCAGATTGATGGATTGCCGTCAATACTGGAAAAACATTATTAATAAAAAAATTATACCTTACCAGTCTGTTTAGAAAATAAATTGCTCAGAGCAAGGAATCATTAAACAGATTTTTATTATAATGGGTAAGACTGTTCCTAAAATAATTATTCCTAAATATATAAATGCATTTTAATAAAACTGAAATTTTGGACTTTTTCATTACATTAGCTTACCACCACTGATTCTAAAATCATTCATTTGAATCCCCCACACTAGGAAAGATTATGATTCTCAGTAGACACAAAATATGAAGAATTAAACTTTGCTGTAGTGACATCTCGTTCAGTACATCTATATTTAATTGGATCTAAATATCTACTAATTGTTAGCATGTGTCCCATAATAACATTGTAATAATACACTTGTTCTTTTGTTTGGTCCCTAAAATGATAGTATTTAGATATTCCAGTCCACAAGAAGTATTTAACCCCAATGTTCCAGCTTTAAATATCAGGGAGATGATTCCACTTTCATTTATTTAATTATTTCAAGTTCTTATACAGGGGAGGAAAAACACTAGTCCTCACGCAGCTACACATTCATTACAGACAGTAACTTTTCCTGAGACAAATTATATTGCCACTATGTCTTAAATTCTACGACTTCATTGTAAATATCCCACCTGAAGACTAAATGACCAGTGTGTGCTATCTCCTACCTTATAAACGGTCCTGCTCCCAGGATGACCCCCCCTCAATGGCACTTTGAAAAAGACAATCTTGTTTTCGGAGAGAATCGGTTTTATTTGTATAACCGCTGCTCCCGTGGCCAATGAGAGCCTGCACGGTGTGGGGCGAATGGGGGATTGGCAAAGTCCCCTGAAAGGAGCAAGGTGACACTGAAATCCAAGGAAATTCAAATGCTTTCCCCAGGCTGGGAAGCTGCTCTTCACATGGGACTTTTTTGGCTCGTCCCCCAACACCAGTTTTCGGGGCTTTAGGGACACTCCTCTTTCAACTCACAGCATCGTGTTTTGGTACCATCAGACTCAGAGTGAATTTGTCCATTTGCTTCAGCAGGGTCCAGGTTTCTCTTCTCGGTATTTAGTGTGCAGAGTTTGGCATCGCAATCCCCTCCTTGCAATGGGAGTTTAGACAGGGTAAAAGAGAAATTACAGAAATAGCTGTATGGAATCATAAGCGCATGTGTGCATGTGCCTGCATGGAAATGCACTGAAATGGGAATCCAGCCTCAAATCCAGGCTGTCCCAGGTAAACGCAGAGATGGAGCAAGCAAACGCTTTCTGCTCCCTCCACCTCCAGCACAGAGCAGGGTATCCGGGATAGGGTTTTGTCCCCCTGGGACAAATCTCCCCTGGGAGGGTTGCGACAATGTTGTTCTTATTGGAACTGATAACCCCTCCGGATTTCATGGGCTAATTGATTTTCCTCTCTCTTTCCCAGCAATCACAGCACTCGTTTCCTTCCCCGGTGACATTAAAATGGGCCAGCATTTATTCTTAGACTTCCCAACCCAGTTCAGAGTGCAGTACGAAATGCAGGAATGTGAGGTTGCCTTTCATTGCCTTGTCTTCGTGAAATATGAGCAAGGAAACGGTCTCATTCAACCACTCTGAATTTACTACATACCAGTGCCCTCAAAGCTCAGCTGCTGGACAAGAAAGGCTTCTTGTTTCAGGCAGGCTGGAGAAAACAATCAATTCTCCTTTAATGTAAGTGGAGAGAATTGTAATCCTCTGTGATTTATTTGTGACCACCTTTTCCTGCACAATAGTCTACAGCTTTCAGCAATAAAAAGTTGATTAAGGGAAGTCTATTACCAAGCATACCAGGCTAGATTGATTCACCGGCTTTTTAGGCTATTCCAAAGAAATCAATTAGGAGTTTTGCAGCAAGATGCTCGAAACCCATGTAGGACATGGGCTTGTCACAGCTCCTGCAATGGAACCTGCACCAGCACTCACTGATGTTCATTCGTACTGCTGAAAACAGGCTGGATCCTGAATTCAAACAGTTCTTTTTTAAAAATTAATAACCCTTTTCAATGCTGTAATTGGACTCAATGTTTTAAACTGAAGTTAAAAATACTTGTGTCTTCAGCAGTTATATTTCTGACAAGATCATGGACACATAAATTGAAGATAAAAGGCAATCAAATCAATTATAATAAAATCCTTATTTTGGTCTTAACTCAGGACTTTCATTAGCAACAGAAGTTATTCAACAGGGGAAGATTAACCATTTTTAACCCAGATTACTGCATTTTACAGTGTTGCCTTCATATTTCACAGACTTCAATTTAATGCCATATTTGCTGCACACTAAAGCTAAAGCAAGAAACACAGCTTCTATCCTGGGTTAGTGTATTTTCCTGAATAGCTTGAATAGTAGCAGTCTGGAATAGTATTATTAGATTATGTGACAACCGCAGGTTTTTAAATTATACAGTGCTTATTGAGTTACTGAAGCAGTTTGGAAAACTCATGTGTTGAGAGCGTAAATTAAGATTTAGCACTAGATTAATCACTTTGTTTATTCAGGGGATCTGGATCTACATTTTACTGATATAAATGATGCATGTGGGCCATTAAAATTCCTTCAAAGTACATTTCAAACACACTCCTAGCCTTGCATATTTGCAGATAACTGTTTTTGACTGAGATTTGCAAAGCTAAGTGAAAAAAAGCTGTGTCCATGCTACAGATTTCTACCGGCACATCCACCAGCCATGGGTAGGAAGGGCTGGGATCTTCTCATAACTGCTGGGTCACTAGAAGCTGCTCCTGGGGCTTGGCAAAAGCAAACACACAAAAGCCAATGCATCCTGGAAGAAGCTTTAACCAGCATGAAGCAATTCCCCAAGGAAGCGGCATCCTTGCAACCCCTAATCCTTGCAACCCTAATGCCGGATCCCCATCGTTATCAGAGATGGGGAGGAAAGGAAGGATTTCAGCAGAGACCATCACCTCTCCCCTCCTCTGCAGCCTGATGCTCCTCCTGGGACACAGCAGGGTCCTGAACCTGGATGCGGCTGCAACAACCTTGTACTTGCTGAATCCTCTCCTTGGCTGCCATTCTGAAACACAGAGGGACACAGTAAACTGCGTAAATATATTTTGTATTAAATTAGTGGAGTATTTCTTAAATGAGATCAGCAAAGGAGATTCAAAAAGCACCTCCCAGAGGGTTCCACTTCCAATTGTTTGCAAATGAAAATAGAAAATTTAGACCTGCAGACACGAGCTAGACGGATAAACTGAAAAACTCTGTTTTGGAAATACAATAAAGGAGGAAACAGTGAAAACCCAAGCAGCATAGAAAATAAGCTGGGTTTGTAATAATAGGTAATTTAAAATCTTAATGCTCAAGTATCAAGAAGGCAAACTGGAAAAAAGAATATTCACATAGAATAGGAAGTGCGTAAAAATGGAATTAAATTACATTCGAGCTGGGTAAAAAGTGTTACAAGGAAATTAATATTTCTGTGTGAAAAAACAATTAACACTTCTCACAAGATTTCCCACAACAATTTAGCAGACC